CACCTTTGTGGCTCTGCTAAATTTTCACTGCCTGGTCTATCTGAAAGGAACTATAGATTCTCTATTCTGGGACCCATTGCTAGTTTAAAGCACTTTCTAAATTGTTGCCTGTGACCAGCTGCTTCCAAGTTTCCTGGTGGACTGTTGCAGTGGTGGTAACTGGCTTTCCTCTAAGTTTCCTGGTGGAACTTGAGGCTGGGGAAGTAGTTCACTTGCTTAAGTGCCGAGGATGGGAGGCTGATCCCCATAGCCCATATAAAAAAAGCCAGCATAGTGGTGTGTGCCTGTGATCCCAGTGCTGAGGGGGGGGTGTAGACAGGTGTGTCTTTGGGGCTCACTGTCTAGCCGGCCTGATCTACTTAATGAGCTTCAGGCTAGGGAGAGGTTCTGTCTCCCAAAACAAATGTGGATGGCCCCAGAATGATACCTGAGGCTGCCCTCTGGCCAGTACACATACATACCAACACACAGATGGGGACACCAGCACACACACACACACACACACACACACACACACACACACACACACACACATCCTTGTGTACAGATGAACACAACTGCAACCACACATTCAGCCATACACCAAGAGCTCACCTCCCCACCTCACCCTAGTGCTTGACAGTGGATCACAGGGCCATAACCCTATCAGGACCCACCCTGGCCTGCTCTCTGCTTCCTTTCCTGACCTTGGTTTCTCCCTTGTGCCTCTTTCTTCTGACCTTGTGCTCTGTTTCTCTGATGCCTGGCACTGCTCTCGGGTGCTGAAGCAACCAGACTTTGGTGTGCATGGACTCTGAAAGCCTTCCTCACCAGCCTGGCATCGCCGGGTCATTCTGACTTGCCCCACATGGCAGGGAATGCCCCCAGAGACTTTCCTTGGCACCTGAGAGAGAAGGGACACACTCTTGTCCTTTTCCTGCTGCCCTCAATTCCAGTCACAAGTAATTTTTTTTCATATGACAGCTAATTATTTTTGATATCTCCCAGTTGGATGGCACAATAAGACATACTGCATTTTAAAAGCAGTGATATGTTTTCTGCTCTTAGGAACTCTTTCGTTTTATATTACAAAACCAAATGATGTCTTAATATATTCAGGCAGGTTTCATCCTTTTCAAAGTTTTTTTTTTTTCCTTTTTCCTAGGAAAGGCCACTTTTTATGATACTGTTTCATTTAGAACTGTGGTCCTTTAATGTAGTTCCTCATGGTGTCATTGGGACTTCCTAAGTGTAATTTTGCTCTTATGAACTGTAATGTAAATATCTGATACTCACCCCTGTGGGGTTGAGGCCCTCAGGTTGAGAATCACTGATGGTTGATTACATCCCTCCCCCAGTGTTGTTTTCATCTCACGTAAGATCGCTAATCTCTGTACTCTCTTTCTGGGTTTGACTTGTTTTCTGAAGGGTTTTCATAGTTGAGTCTGGCCTCTTCCTAGACACCACCACAGCTTTATTTCTGGTACAGTCTGGTACACGCAAGGTCTATCTGTACTGGACTTTCACTGACCTTGAAATCCTCCTGCCTCCACCTCTCAGGTACTGGTATTACAGGTGTGAGTCACCATGCAGGCACTCGTGGGTTCTTTTTTTTTTTTTAATCACGATCTATTTCCTTGTGTGCCTCCTCACTCACCCCTGAAGTCTTTGCTGTCATGACATTGTCTTTGTTGTGGTAAGCGGACAGCCTATGGCATCTAGTAGACACCCTTGGAATGGCTGAGGAACAGAGGAATGCAGTTTAGGGTAAACAACTTTATTTGGTCATTTTGAAGTCCTTTTCTATCTGCAGTCTATTTTCTTATTAGATTTCAGATACTAGGAACGTAAGTCTGGAAGTCTAAAAAGACATGGCATGAGCGCCAGACTTTCCATTCTCAGATCTCTACACATCCAAACCATTTGGCCTGTAAGAAAGCACCTTTAGGAAAGGTGAGGGGTGTTGGGCTGAAGAGCGGATGGCCCAGTATTAAGAGTATTTGCAGGTTTTACAGAAGAGCCTTTGGGGGCAGTTCACAGCTGCTCTAACTCCAGCTCCAGGGGAATCTTACTTCTTCTGGCCTCCGTGGGTTCCTGCACACCCTGGCATATATATACTCACACAGATATGTATACACACATACCGGAGGCATATATTCACACAGTCAGACAGAGAGACCACACACACACACGGCATACACTCAGACACTCAGACACATGTACACATGAGGTATATACCTACATGCACACACAAATAATGGAAATTGAAAAAAAAAAAAAAGAGAATGAGCCAATCAGCTATGATTATATATTTATTGCACACTCAACAATACTGGTCAAGCAGGTGGTCAGGTCTTCGTTTTAAAATGTAACTGCTCCACACAAAAGAACAAAAAAAAAAAAAAAAAAAAAAAAAAAAAAAAGATCTAAAAGCAAGTGTGTCCATTATTTCTAACGAGGCCCTCAGACTTCCCGCAACCTCACCCAGGGTGTGCCTGTATAATATTGTGTTAATGTTTTAGCCTTATTAGTTATCTGACATCAACTAATAAGCTAGTGAGGCCAAGCACATTATGCGGCAACCAGCAGGTGTTATGCTAGAAGGCTTGGATCAATGAGTGATTGTAATTGAAGCTGAGCATAATTAATTATGTGGGTTTTGAGGTATTCGAGTGTAATGCTACTTAAGATCCGTCTTTAAATGAGCACAGTAGGAGGGATTGCTGACACAAGGAAAACAAGATGCCCTTGGCCTGGCTTTGACTGGGGTTCACATTCCCTGCTCACTATAGAAGAGCCAGGTTGGCTCCATTATAATGAGACTCTGTCAGGCCCCCTAACCACCTCCCCCACTTCTGCTCATTCTTCTTGGGCCACAGTTCCCCACTGTCTTTTGCTGAGGGTAATCTTTCCACAACTCATACTGTTTTTATGTTAGGGTTGTCTTGCTCCTTTCTGATGGAGCTAGCTCTTGTTTGTTTACTTAGAGGCAGAGTCAGGATGTCTCCCAAGACGATGGTCTGGAACATGTCATCCTCCTGCCTCAGTTTCTGGAGTGTTGGGATTATAGGTGTAAGCTACTCTGCCCATTGTCTCCTGTTGTCTTTATGATGGTGTTTTTCCACTCTGTCTGGTAAAGCAAATCTCTTTGCTGGTTGCCTTAAGGGCAGAGATGTCCTTGAATTGATTTGCTGAGGGTATAAACTTTACTTGATGTCAGTTCCCCAGGGAATGGTGGTGGTGGTGGTGGTGGTGGTGGTGGGTGTGGGTGTGTGTGTGTTTGTGTGTGTGTGTGTTTGTGTTAGCCTATGTGTTCCTGGTACAGAGACTAGATCAAGCCCCTAGCTCTTACACATTTACGAAGTACTTTATTCCTAAGCTATACCCCTAGCTGGGGCTGTACACTTTTATCCTTGGTTTCCTCAGCAGTCCATTTGGGGGAATCTGAGTAATAACTACCTTGCTGACTGAAATGGGCAGTGCAGGAGAAGGTCTACCCTGTGCTTCTACTTTGTTCATGCTGGCTTACCTGTGAGCCCTAGCATTCAGAATGCAGAGTGCTTTTAATTCCCTGTGCTGGTGGTAGACTTTGTCATTGTCCTCCTGATCCAGAGGAATTCCAAATGAGTACCTTTAATGACTAATAGGAGACCTTCCGATGCCTCATGGTATCGTAAGCTCTTAAGTTTGGACCCTCCCACAAGCCACCCTTCAGTCTAAATGACAGCAGGCTTGTCAAGAATTAGGCGTGGAACACTCTCATATGTGGAGCCCGGTTGCTCCTTTTTCTCATAGTTCCTCCTAAACTAAAGAGTATAAATGACAGCAAACTTACCAAAAAGTTTTGGTGTGAGCCCCTGAGGAACTAGTTCATAAGCAAGTGAAACACTGCAAGAATTTGTTTAAGCTCCTAAGAACACTTGTGAGCTGAAGGAAGTTAACAGTAGGCTCCCCTTGAGCTGAAAGAAGTTAACAGTAGGCTCCCCTTGAGAGAAAGAGGCAGAGGCATTGAGAATGAGGTGTGAGAAGTGAGAGCTTTGTACTCCATGTAGACTCTCGTTCACTTGAGTATGGATAGGATGTGTGCCTATACCTCGCCTATTTTTGTCTTTCATAAGATGAATGCCAGCAAGGTGGGCTTTGGCTTGGAATACTTCCTCCTGGTTCTAGAAGGACTGTCAGTAACTTTTGTTTGTTTGTTTTGTTTCTTAGTCAGGCCTTTTCTGTGTGACAGTCCTGACTGTCCTGGAACTAGTTTTGTAGACCAGGTTGGCCTCAAACTCATAGAGTTCTGCCTGCCTCTTCCCCAGGTGCTGGGACTATAGGCATATGCCACCACCACCCATTTTAGTAACTTCTTTTAATTACCCAGTGAACATAGTGTCATGTAAGCACCTAAAACCCACTCACCACACATTCTCAAGGGAATCAAAGGGTCTCTTTTAGGAATATGAGTATGATAGCTGAAGAATGGTTTGTTTTAAGGTTACAAAAAGTTTTTCAGTTTTGCTACTGGTAGTATAATTTGGTAAAATGGTCCAGGTTAAGCTTTGCATGCCCAAATGACTATAAGCAGCCAGTGTAATTGAAAATAATTTTGTCTTTGGATGGGGACCCCGGGTCATGTGGAGTATCTGTTTTAGTTTGGCAGGAGGGGGTATTGGCTTAGGTCGCTAGTCCTCCTCTTCATGCTACATCATCACGTGCCTTTCTGCCAACACTGTTCTTACTGAGTTGTGTCTCCGTACAAGGTCTTCCTCCTTAACTCCCTGGAGGATGAGAAATTAGTCAGGTTTGGTCAGATTTCTGTGAGAAGTGCAGGCCCTGGCACACTGGGCCTTTATTTAGTATACTGTTTTCTGCGTCCTTATGTTTACAGATGCTGTTACAAAGGAAGGGACTTCTTTAATGTAAGAAGACTTCAAGAAACAAAACTTTTTTTACAGCAGTAGTTTTGCATGGAATAGTGAATGGTTTCATTATTGGAGGCATTTACATCATCTTTTTCTCCCTGGGAACAGTCAGAATTTGCTGTGTGATGTCACGATCGTGGCAGAAGACGTGGAGATTCCTGCACACAGAGTGGTGTTGGCGGCCTGCAGCCCTTATTTCCATGCCATGTTTACAGGTACGAGATCCTTTAGTTTCTGACATGTCATCAGACCTGTGGCTTGTCCATGTTATATGAAATAAGGCAGTGTTCAATTCATTGTGAGTTCACTGGTGTTTGCTTTGTATTGCTGCCAGTCAGTAAACATGTACATGCCGTGATTAGTCACGTGTGTTCGGCCTTGCCGCTACAAGTTTATATTTACATATATTCACTCAGTTTGGCTTCCTGCCCTTTACAGCAGCATTTGGGCCCTTACATTATTACTGGTTTATCTTTTGTGTATGCTAAAGGAAAGGCATTTCTACTACTTTATGTTTTTTACAAATGGTTTTCACATTTGCTTTATCCAGTATTTATAGTAAACTCAAGTGTTGTCTTAAGATCACGTATTTTGGAAATCTGAGAAAAAGACTGACGTATCCATAAGCTTGGGTTTCACTTTGGCATGTTTAAACATGTATAGAATGCTGTTAGCACTCTTGGAAAGGAACTTATGTGTGTTGAAGCCTCATTAAAAAACAAAACAAAAAGCAACATAGAGCTGGATTGGAGCTCAGTGCCTCAGCTCTTAGTCTAGTAGGCACAGAGCCTGGATTCGGTCCTTAGCACAGCTAGAGGTAGAGGAAGAGGAGGAGGGAGGGGAGGGAGAGAGGTGAGAGGTGAGGGGGAGCAGAGGGGAGGGAAAGAGAGGGGGGGGAGAAGAGGGCAGAAGAGGTAAAGGGAGGGGAAGGAACAGGAGGGGAGAAGAGGGAGGGAAGAGGAGGATATGGGAAGGGAAAAAAGGGGAGGGAAAGAGAGGGGAGGAAAGAGAAAGAGGATGGGAGGAGAGGGGAGAGAGGGAAAATATGGGTAGTTCTCTTACAAAGGACATCTACAATTGTGGATAGGTGCAAACACTGTGTAAACTGAATATTTTTGTACATACATATGTACATGTAAAGTTTAACTTATAAATTCAGTAAAGAGTAACAATGTTGATGAAGAGTAAATGGGATAATGAAAATGTGTTATAATAAAATAGCCAACATCACTATTTTTGTGCTTAAGAAGTTTTATTCAATAAAATAAGGGTCACATGGACCTAAGCCCCACAATACCTTGATAGTCCATTGATACTCCAGCTAGCTAAGAGCGACCTATAGGTAGCATATACTGTGTGGCTATGCTGAATAGAGAGATGATTCATGCCTTAGGTGTGACAAAACAGCATGCATCTAGTTTAAAACAGTATCTAGTTTAAAACTTAGGAACTTTATTTCTAGAACTTTCTGTTTAATATGCTTGGACTATGGTTGACCATGAGTAACTGGAACTACAAAAACTGTTAAGGGGAGACTAAGTGTAACATTGTACAAAGCAATGAACCATCTTGTCAGTGAGTTTAGTCTCAGTGTCTTGGTAAACTAAATACAAAGTACATGGTAGGTATGTCCAAAGATAAATGTATAAAGTGGTGCACACCTTTAATCCCATCAGGCAGAGGCAGGTGGATATCTGCACCTTTCAGGCCAGCCTGGTCTAGGATAGTCAGGGCTGTGTAAGACTCTGTCTGGGAAAAAAAAAAAAATGTTGTTCATAGCTTAGAGACTCTTGAGTATTTCATGTATCAAAACGACACGGATGGTATAATGGCTTCCTGCTGCAGTGGCTTTATCGTGCATCTGGGGAGATGAGAGGAGCCAGATTTTAGTGTAGAAACATGGTGCCTCCCGGTAATTCAAATGGTGAGGCAGCATTGAGACTTTCTTGTGGTTGCAGTGGGTTTACCCAGAAGAACATGGGCCAAGCAGAGGGAGTAGGCTCAGGGAAAAGTCTACTTGTCCCAGCAGTGGAGGAGAACAGAGTCTGGTTGCTTTGCTCTTTCTGAGCAGAGTTTAGTCATCAGGAATGGAGGAAGGGCAGCAGATGGCTTGTGAGCCAAGTCAGGGAAGTATTGGAGGGTGCTGTCTGTCAGCCAGGGCTGTGAAATGTCAGTACTAAGGAGGTAAGAGTGGGCACATTTCCATGTGCCGACTTTCACTTTGGTCTTTGGGCTTACATCATATTTATTATCCTGGATGCTGTTCTGGAGAGGGTCTTGGCTTATGCGAGCAAACATTCCTCTAGCAATGGTGCAGTAAAAAACCATGCCTTCTGTGTGGTCAGCCTTCAGGGGATACAACTTGGGGGGACCACTGAGTCCTTGGAGACTGTCTTGAATAATCGGGGCTTTACTTTTCCCATCTGGAAAATAGGGTGATAATATTGCTCACATTCCAGAGTTCTGTAAAGATTGGATAGGTCGTGTGTGAATTTCCTAGTGCTTCTCTTGGCCAGAATAAGATGCACACCTGTAATCCCAGCAGCTGGAAGGTAGAGGAGGCGGGAGAGACAGGCGTTCAAGGCCATTCACTGGCTGCTTAGTGAGTTTGAGTCAAGTCTGGGATACAGTAGATCGTGTTTTTGTTTTAAAAAAGAAAAACAAAACCTGTGTGTGTGTGTGTTTACACTAATTAAAGAGGTAGTCATGGATTTCAGGAGGAACAGAGGAGGACTTACAATATGGAGAGGGAGGGTGGAAATGATGCAAATATGCTATTCATGTATGAAATTCTCAAAAACAATTTTTTTTGAAAGTTAAAGTCAAACAAAAAGCCAAGAGAAACTGCACAGTTAATGCTGGCAGTAAGTATCACGGTCATAAGCGAAATTTTATTATAGTGTATAAGAATAGGCGATTGAACAAACCTTAATCTAGGCATCTACAATTTTTCTCTTTAAAAACTATTAGTGTCTATAAATTGTACAAAATAATGGGTCTCAATGTGACATTTCATACATGCACACAACACACCACAATCATCTTTACCCTCTAATGCCTTCTTATCTCCCTTCCCTCAGCTCCCCATGGCTTCTCTGTAATTATTTTCCCTCATAGCCTTTCTTTTCTCTTTTCCTTCCTTCTTTCCTCCTTCCTTTCTCCCTTCTTTCCTCCCTCCCTCCCTTCCTCCTTCCCTCTTTCCCTCTTTCCCTCCTTCCTTCCCTGCCTTCCTTTCTTCCTTTCAATATTATATGTCTAGCATAGCACAGTGTGGCTTTGAACTTATCATGTAGCTAAGGATTAACATTTCCTTCGATAATTTTTTATTCTCCATAGAGTAACAAAAATGTAGTTATTAACGTAGCCCTACCAGGAATGTACAGTACCATATGCCTATAGTCCTAACTACAAGGGAGCCTGTGCCTAGGAGTTTGAGACAGTATGGCCAACATAGCAAGGTTCTGTCTCCAGAGGAATTAATTATATTTACTTCGTTTTTATTTCTATGTATGTATGTGAACCTTTGTGAGTTTCCTTGTAGTTTCCAGTATTGAATAGAGAAAGAAGGTGATAAATAATTCCGTGGTGTAGTTGCAAGTTTTCCTCTTGTGAACTTTGGTACAGGTGGTTAACTATGACTTGAGAAAGAATGTGGCAAATTGGGTTCTTGTGTTTCTAGACTGTTAGAAATGTAGCAAACACATTTAGTTTCATTTTGTGATACAGTAGTTAAAATGCTCTTTAAAAGGGTTTATTTTTATTTTTAATTATTTGTGTGTGGGCACTTGAGTGCAGCTACCCTCAGAGATCAGAGGTCAGAGGCCAGGGTGCTGAAACCACCTAAAGCTAGAGCTACAGGCAATTGTGAATTTCCTGATGCTGCTGCTAGGACTTGAACTTCAGTCCTGGAACAATAGGAAATGTTCCTAATCATTGGGCCACCTCTCCAGCCCCATAGGTTAAAATTTTTAAGTTTTTTTTTTTTTTTTTTTCTTTCCTCTGAAACAGGGTTTCTTTGTATAGCCTTAGCTGTCCTGAAACTCACTCTGTGTGGACCAGGCTGCCCTTGAACTCGTAGAGATCTGCTTGTCTCTACCTTCTGAGTGTCCATTGGGAATATGTACTTTGTATAACCTCCTGTACCATACTAAATATAAATTAGTAAAAAATTTAAAAAGGTAGACAAAGATTATCAGTTGAGTGATTAAATAATGTAAATATTCAAAGTTACATGCATTGGCTCTATTTGTCTAAGATTCATACATTGATGAATTAGGAAATTGAGCATCTTCCATTTGCTAGATGTTGTCATAGGCTTTGAGAACCATGGAGATGAACAGAGTAAACGAGTTCCTGTTGGGAGAGGAGACTAGGTTAGGGAATGAATAAATTTGTTTAGGAAAGAGCTCGGCTGTTTGTGGCTGCTGGGAAGAAAATGAGATAGGATGCTGATGAGAGTCTAAGTTAGAATGCCTGTGACTTCGAGTGACAGAAAATGCCACTTGAGCTGGGCCCAATAGTAAGGAGATGCTGGGCACTGGGCACAGCTGACCCGTGGCCTGAGAACTTTATTAGTGACTTTATTAGTTTCCTGCTGTCTCTACCTGTTACCATTAAGGAATACCTCCAGGTTGGTCCTCCAGAATGCAGGATGGCTATAGGAGTGGACCCAGATTCTTAGAGAGATTGTTTCCTGTCCCTGCTTTTTTAGCAGCTAATAAATCTTTTCCACAAGTTATTCTATTGAGACTAAAGCTGTAAGTACATGCATTTGCCATATTTATTTGCCTTAGAGTCCTGAAGAACTAGGATGACATGTTGATCCTTGACCATAACAGTGACTGGCTGGGGTGTCCTCTGGAGTCACCTTTTCAGGCTGACACTGCCAGCAGCATCACTGGACCCAAACTGAGAGACCAGAAGTCAGTGATGGTTATTGTCAGTGGCAGGTGAACTTGAAGAGTGATGGAACTCTTCAATTAAATGTGATTTTTAAGCTTGCTCCTAATTTCTTTTCTGTCATTGATTTCTTAGGGTCTCAGTATAATCCATGTTTCAGTGTTATGTTTTTGTTTTCCAAGTACCCCTTAATTATAAATAAAATTGAAATCAGAATAATGGACTTATTGTTGTGTAGTAGATTATAGAATTTATCCTAAGCCTAGTCATTTTTTTCTTTTTAGACTTTCTTTTATTTTTAAAAATATATTCTTAA